ATGAAGCATCCCTGGGTAGGTGCTCCGGTTTTCCAGACTAGGAGCGGTGCCCCTGGGGTGCATGTGTCGCACCGAGCAGAGTAGACCTTGTTCCCCGCAGCTTTGAGGCCGAATCACTCATCCCTGACCCGTAGGATGGGAATAATGGTGTTGGCGCGCTTTGGGATATGCATGCCCGCCGGCGTCATGATGAGATCCGCCAGTGTCCTCGTGTCCGACTGGGGGCTGCATCCAAAGCCAAGTGGGAGATGACCCAGGGAGGGGAGGGCACTCGCCTTCTTGTCACTTGCGCCACTGGTCCTCCAGTGTTCGTACACCTTGACCTTATCCGCGACTGTTGCACCGGTTGGTGTTCGGATGCCCTTGTCCTCCAGGTGTCGAATCCAGCAGATCTCGCAGTGCCATCCCATGTGTGTACCGTCGAGGTAGGCCTGGGGCCGGTTCTGCGCTACCATCAGGCGAGTATCGTCCGAGATCCATGTGCCGCCTTTGGAGCGTAGCTGATCCCTGTCGCATCTGGGGATACGCGAAGCGTCAACAATTTCTAAAGTTTTTCAGTAACCCAAGTAAGGGGGGAACTAAGCGGGGAACTAAGCATTTTCCGGCGGCCTTATTCACGGACTGGGGTCCCAACGCTAAGAAGAAATATGTTTTTGTCCGCGGCACCCGCCGCGCAAACACGACGACGACAGCTACGACGACGATTGCGACCACGACTAAGACGAGGAGGAGCAGCAGGAGGACGACGATGAGGAAAAGGAGGGGGAGAGGAGTGAGAAGGAGGAGAGGAAGAGGAGGAGGAGGCGGAGGAGGAGGAGGAGGAAGAGGAGGAGGAGGAGGAGAAGGAGGAGGATGATGAGGAGGAGGAAGAGGATCAAAGAAAAGGAGGAGGAGGAGGAGGGGGAGGAGGAGAAGCAGAAGGAGGGGGAGAGGGAGGAAGTGAGGACAAGCTAGGTGCGCTCGCGTCATATCTGACGTCCTACCCCTCCCTCCCACCCCTTACCATGGCGCTGATTTTCTCTATCCGCGGACGCGTGTTGTAGCGGACCTGTGGCTCCGCGCGCGCGTGCGTAGTGGGTGGTGGTGCGCGTGCGTGCGTGCGTGCGTGCGTGTGTGCGTGGTTGTGGTGGTGGTGGTGGTGGTGGCGGTGGTGCGGCGCGGTGGTGGCGGGCGGATGGGCGCGCGGGAAAGAGGCCCGTGCTGGGGCGAGAACGCCATCCTGAACGACGGAGGCCAAACACCGATCCGAAAATGAGGCCCACGCTGCAGCGGGAGCACGATTCAGAACGCTTCGGGAGCAGAAATGAGGCCGGCGCCTCAGCGAGAGCAGCATTTTGAAATTACTCACTGCGTGGAGCTCCCCATATGTGCATCTCATGTTTTATGTCATGCCGTGGTGAGCGTCTGTTCATGAGCGGTCGACTACAATAGCGCGTCCACGTGGGCGACAGGGCCGACGAAGACGAGTGACCCCTAATGCGAGTGATTGCGTATGAGTCACGAGTGAGCTTTGAGTACGGTTGAGTGCGAGCCTCTTCCTCTTCACCCCCCCTCCTCACCTGCCAATAAAATCGCCTGGCCCCCGGCGGCTCCCCGTAGGGGTTTCAGCTGCCAGTGTTCAGCATTCCTCTTCATTCCCCCCAAGCAAACCGCCTGAGACATCCCCACAAAATGGCCGCGAACGAGCCCGTGCAAACACCCCTGGCGGCTCCCCGTAGGGGTGCTGAAACCACGCCCTGAGCGGCTCCCCCTGTCCCCACAAAATGGCCGCGAACGAGCCCGTGCAAACACCCCTGGCGGCTCCCCTAAACTGAAACCAGCGCCCCGCCTGAGACATCCTCACAATCTGCTCTCCAAGCGAAGGATGTTGAGCCCAGAAACAAGCAAACCGCCTGAGACATCCCCACAAAATGGCCGCGAACGAGCCCGTGCAAACACCCCTGGCGGCTCCCCGTAGGGGTGCTGAAACCAGCGCCCCGCCTGAGACATCCTCGCAATCTGCTCTCCAAGCGAAAGATGTTGAACCCGAAAACAAGCAAACCGCCTGAGACATCCCCACAAAATGGCCGCGAACGAGCCCGTGCAAACACCCCTGGCGGCTCCCCGTAGGGGTGCCGAAACCGCGCGCCCGCCTGAGACATCCTCACAATCTGCTCTCCAAGCGAAGGATTTGAGCCCAGAAACAAGCAAACCGCCTGGACATCCCCACAAAATGGCCGCGAACGAGCCCGTGCAAACACCCCTGGCGGCTCCCCTTAGGGGTGCTGAAACCAGCGCCCCGCCTGAGACATCCTCACAATCTGCTCTCCAAGCGAAGGATGTTGAGCCCAGAAACAAGCAAACCGCCTGAGACATCCCCACAAAATGGCCGCGAACGAGCCCGTGCAAACACCCCTGGCGGCTCCCCTTAGGGGTGCTGGAAACCAGCGCCCCGCCTGAGACATCCTCACAATCTGCTCTCCAAGCGAAGGATGTTGGGCCCAGAAACAAGCAAACCGCCTGAGACATCCCCACAAAATGGCCGCGAACGAGCCCGTGCAAACACCCCTGCGGCTCCCCTTAGGGGTGCTGAAACCAGCGCCCCGCCGAGACATCCTCACAATCTGCTCTCCAAAGCGAAGGATGTTGGTGAGCAAACCGCCTGAGACATCCCCACAAAATGGCCGCGAACGAGCCCGTGCAACCACCCCTGGCGGCTCCCCTTAGGGGTGCTGAAACCAGCGCCCCGCTGAGACATCCTCCAATCTGCTCTCCAAGCGAAGGATGTTGGGCACAGAAACAGGCAAACCGCCTGAGACATCCCCACAAAATGGCCGCGAACGAGCCCGTGCAACCACCCCTGGCGGCTCCCCTTAGGGGTGCTGAAACCAGCGCCCCGCCTGAGACATCCTCGCAATCTGCTCTCCAAGCGAAGGATGTTGAGCCCAGAAACAAGCAAACCGCCTGAGACATCCCCACAAAATGGCCGCGAACGAGCCCGTGCAAACACCCCTGGCGGCGCCCCTTAGGGGCGCTGAAACCAGCGCCCCGCTTGAGACATCCTCCAAATCTGATGTGTGTTGAATAAATCTGAGTATGAGTAGGTCTGAGTATGAGTATGCCTGAGTATGAGTAAGTCTGTGTATGAGTAAGTCTATGTATGAGTAAGTCTGGGTATGAGTAGGTCTGTGTATGAGAAAGTCTGTGTATGTGTACGTCTGGGTATGAGTAAGTCTGAGTATGAGTAATACTGTGCATGTGTAAGTCTGGGTATGAATAAGTTTGTGTATGAGTACGTCGGGGCGTGAGTAAGTCTGTGTATGAGTAAGTATTTGCATGAGTATGTCTGAGTGTGAGTAAGTCTGAGTATGAGTAGGTCTGAGTATGAGTAAGTCTGAGTATGATTAAGTCTGAGTATGAGTAGGTCTGAGTATGAGGAAAGATGAGGAGGGGAGGAGGAAAGAGGAGGAGGGAGAGGCAGTAGGAGGCGTCCAAGTAATAATTACTCACCGCGTGGAGCTCCCCATATGTGCATCTCATGTTTTATGCCATGCCGTGGTGAGCGTCTGTTCATGAGCGGTCGACTACAATAGCGCGTCCACGTGGGCGACAGGGCCGACGAAGACGAGTGACCCCTAATGCGAGTGATTGCGCGTGAGTCAGGGTGAGCTTTGAGCATGGTTGAATGCGAGCCTCTTCCTCTTCATCCCCCCTCCTCAGCTGCCAGGCGTTCCCCTTTTCAGCCCGTGGTAGCTTTGGAGCTTCCCACATGTGCATATGTTGTAGGATAGTTGGCAGTGGGATATGTAAGACGAGCGTGTAGCCACACGAGGCCATAAGTGCATGTCGTGTTGGAGGATAGTGCCACGGTGGGCATTTCCAACGATCCCCGCACGCAACCACCGCCCCCCCCCCCCCCACCCCCCCCCCCCCCCCCCCCCCCCCACCCCCACCCCCTCGCAGTCACCCCCAATGCATATATATATTATATATGGTCGCACCCCCCCCCTCCCCCCCCCCCCCCAAGATCTACATTTGATGGGGTCTGAAGATTAAATTCCTCTAAGGAAGCTTTGCGTTGTTTGTGTTGGCGGCAAGTAATTTCAACCAAGCGCTGCTATTTTCTAAGATTCCTAAGGCAACCGAAGGAAGGTGGCCACCAAACCCCTGCTATTTTCTAAGATTTCTCAGATGTCTAAGATTTCCGCAACCATCCCAAGGCCTTGCAGAGCAACCACGCGCACACAACAACCCTGAATGGCCACCAACGCTGCTATTTTCTAAGATTCCGACGGCGACCGAAGGAAGGTGGCCACCAAACACAGCTATTTTCCAAGAGTTCTAAGATTTCTAAGATTTCCGCACCCATCCCCAGGCTGGCCTGAAAAGTTGCGAAAATCTCAGAAATCTTAAAAACCTTAGAAAATAGCAGTGGTTGGTGGCCACCTTCCTTCGGTTGCCTTAGGAATCTTAGAAACTAGCAGTGTTTGGCGACCATTCTGGGTTGCTGTGTCCGCGTGGCTGCTCCGCAGGGCCGTGGGATGGTTGCGGACATCTTAGAAATCTTAGCAACCTTAGAAAATAGCAGTGTTTGGTGGTCACCTTCCTTCGGTTGCCTTAGGAATCTTAGAACATAGCAGCGTTAGGCGACCATCCAGGGTTTCTGCGTGCGCGTGGCTGCTGTGCAAGCGCACGCAACAGCAAGCCGCATGTTGGCGGTGTTAACAGCGCGGCGATGACGCAATTCCCATGGACGCCCGCTTAGCGGCTTCCGATGTTATGGCTGGCTAACGGCGAGCCGCAGAGGCAAGGACGCAAGGGTGCCCCGCGCATGCTATGTTCATCACTGCAACGTGCGCAACAGCCATGCGAAGTCAGACGCGTGCCCTTTGTCTACCCCCGCAGCGATCTGGATGCACCCCAAATGGTTGCATGCCTCCCCGAGCAAATTCGCCTAGCACCCGCTGCTGGCTGTTAGACTCCTGCGCAGCGCCTGGCCCACGGCGGCGGCGGCGGCCGCCTCAGTCCGAATCCGAGCCGATCGCCACGACGCCTGTTGAGGGCTTAGAAGTACGGCTGTCGACGAGGGACGGGGCGGGGGGCGGGGGCAAACGAACCGCCCGACAGCCGCGAGCAGAGGGACAACCATGCCCTCGACTTTACGGGCCGTCATTCAAAAGCCCGCTGGTTAACAAACGGAAGAATCCTTCTACGCCCCGCGAACGACGCCAGACTTCGTTCCCCCCGCAGCCCGTGCCTGGGAAGATCGCCTTCATCGTCCCCTTGTCCACGGGCGAAGCAGTGACGCCGCCCGCGGACGCGGACGCGCCCGCGGGCTCCCGCTTGATGGTCGCGCCAGCGGGGTCCTTCTTGATCGGCGTGCGGCGCGCCCGCTCCTGCTTGGCATTGCCCTTCTCCTTCTTGGCGGGCGCGAGCTCTCCGATCACGCTCTTCTTCAAGGAGTTGAACTCCACGAGCGTGATGGCGCCCGCCTGGTGGAGACCCCGCAGCCGCTCGAGCTCCTGCGAGAGGGTCCCGCGCGGCGGATCATCATCCTCATCGTCCTCGTAGTCGTCGCTGTCAACCCCGCGGCGGTCGCGCCTGAAGCCATCCGCGAAAGGGTCGGGCGACGTCGCGCGGTGCTCCTGCGCGCCGGGCCTCGCCCGCTTGGCTGGGCGCCCCCCCAGCTGGCGCGCCTGGGGCTGGCATCTGTGACCCGCGCGCGCCGCCTCCTGGCGCGGCTGAGGTTGGCATCGGGGCCGCGGGCACATCGCGGAGGAACTCGGTCACGCGCTGCTTGTCGTTGAAAGCTTCTGCGGCCTGGCCGGCGTCAAGCGGCACGTCGCTCCTAGTCCACATCGGGTCAATGGGCTGCGGGCCAGGCGCTGGGCCGCCCCGCAGCACGTGGTCCGCCCAACGGCACTCCCACTCCAATGCCGCCTTGTACCCGTCAGGCACGCCCGCCGCCCCCTCGAGGATGGCGCCGCACTTGGGTTCGCTCGTCTTGCGGATCCACGTCCGCTTCTCGGGCACTGGGAACCTGTGAACAGGCACCTCGTCCTCTGTCGCAAACCGAATGTAGAGCCAGAGGTCAGTCTGCACGACGAAGTTGTTGCGCTTGGGAACGGCCACTTGGTCTGGATACAGCATGTCGATTGGCCAGGCTGGGCGGATCAAAGACATGATCTGCTCATGCGTGATGGTCTCGGCGCCGTTCTTGGAGTTGGCGGCCCCTTGCGCGGCAGGCTCTGCGCGCTGGTCGTACTTGTTGCCCAGCAACGCTCTGGGCTGACCCTTGGCCCACCGACGACCAGCCCACCGCGCCATGGCCACCGCTTCCTCTGACGCAATGTCACCGAAAGCCTTGAGAACTCTGGGGCGCTGGGTGGAAGAGTCGCCGTCGTCGAAGATGTCAGGCGCGTCAACCAGCCCAGGGCGACCCCTGAAGAAATCCATCTCAGAGCACACGCGGTACGATCCGTTGAGTGCTTCCTCGGTGCGCCCCATCGCGTCGACGCGCGCCTGGCGGCTGAAGCACATCATGAGAGACTTGATGTATGGGGGCTTTCCGATCCCAGCTTTGCCTAGGAACCAGTTACCCTTGAGCTTCCTCGACGCCATCAGGCGCGCCCCCAAGTCTACCATGTACATCTCGCAGTCCGCCATTGTCATGCCGAAGAAAGTCTGCGCGGTCGCAAAGGCGCCGGCATGCGCGAGCTGGCGCGACGCCTCCTTCACCAGCCCGTCCCGCCACCCAGCGATCGGGCAGTTCGCCTGCTTGTGGGTCCTCTTGGCGATCCACTTCAGCTGGATAAGCTTCTCCGTGTGCCGCGGGCCCTCGTCGTAGATGTAATCGAAGCCTGCTTCGACGGCGTCTTCGTCGAGTTCGCCCTCCTCCTTTGAGGAGGGGGCCAACCCGAGCGCGCGGGCTTGAAAGCCGCCCAGCCCCTCGATCATGCATTGGAAGGCCTTGAGGTTGCGATGGGCGTTCGACCCGCCAATCTCGCCCCAACTGATCATTTGGGGCGCTCCGACGCACAAGCCCTTCAAGAAGCCCTTCTTCTGCTTGTCCACCATCTCGATCACCTTGACCGCCGCGAACTTGCCGCCCTCGAGGGAAATGGCGAATATAGACATGTGGTACGAGACGCCACCCGCGTCCTTCAAGCGGAAAGGTTCTGGGAGCTCACCGTAGGCAGGGTTCTGTCTGCCCAGGCACTTGCGAATGTCGTATTTTGGGACTTCGCCGACGTGCTCGGAGATGATGTCCACGACGTGCCTTACTGGCGCTTCGCCTTCTGTGAAATCGCACAGGGGCAACTGGTCAGGCCTGATGCCAGCAGGCGACTCCTCGCCGCGGTCGAGGATGGCATGGCCCTTCTTGTGCTGGACCCTTACCACGTTGACCGTCGCATCCAATGCTCTCTCCTTGGCAACCGCCTCGGCCATCGCTGCGCTGGAAGGCGGGCGCGGGGGGGGGGGGGCGGAAGCGGTTCGCCCAGTGAACCAAAAGAACGGCTACGGACATCGATATCGCATCCAACAGCTACTTCATTCAGCCCGAGACAGAAGACAGCTAGGCTTCGCGAGCCTCCCAGGCTAGAGAACATCAAGCAGCTCGCCGGGCGACGAATCCTGATCTCCGAGCGCAGAAGCCTCGGGGCTCACGAAACATCGGCCATGCGCTTCCCTTGTCTCGGAACTCAGGAAACGTTGCCAGGTGAGTTGTTCGATTTTGCTATTTCGAAGCGCGCAATTGCTCTCTGGTTGCGCGCGCGGCCCCGCCTACTCTCAGGCGCCCTGCCGCGCGCCCCGATGCCCCAATGCTTGCAGTCTACAAGCTACCACCGCTACGCGATGTCAGTCCCCCTCAAGCGGCCGAGCATCTTGCCAGTCTCCAGCCACAGGTCCTCGTTGGCGTGCCAGTACGCCCACTGGGCAGATCGGACTCTGCAGTTCAGTGACATCGAGCCCACGGCGCACTTCCTGATCTTGATGAAGCCGCGCAAGTGCTGCCAGAATCTGTCGATGACCTGGGTCCCGCCCTTGCACTTGAGGACCCGTCCGCCAGGAAGCTTGTGCTGAAACGTCTTGGCGCACGTAGGTTTCATCCACACCTGGCGGCCGTTCTTCTTCACTGGCTTGCCGTTCTTCATGAGCCGCTTCCTCTGGTGCACGACGTGGTCGTGAATCATCCCCTCGACCTTGAGCGTGTAAGTCCTTGCTCCGTCAGTGTGGAGCACGACGTTCCGGTGTGTCAAGTTTGGGTTCGCACCTGGGCCTGGCGCTCTCTGCTTTGCGAGGCATGGCTTGAGGCGCGTCAGAACCGGCGTCTTGCGGTTGCCTCGTTCGATGACGCCGCCCCACTGCTCCCATTGGACCTGCTCGTTCTCAGCTCGATCTGCGTGGTCAGCAAGTAGGTCTCCCCTGAGGTCGACCTCGTCGGCCTCGACATCTTTCCAAGTCCGCCCCTGCCCTCCGAAAGCGATCAGCTTCTCCTGCTGCGCCACGTCAATCTTTCGGCACGCATCGTTGCACTTGCCCATGCTCTCGATCGCCTTGTGGTTCTTGCCCGTGAGCGCATGGATCTTGGCAAGGGGGAGGCCGTTCACGACAGCGAATAGCACGGCGGCCTGTTCTTGCAAGGGCACAGCGGCAGCCCCAGAGCCGCTGGCGAAGACCATGTGCCCGCTCTGGGGCAGGGGGAACTTTTGGCAACCGCGATGGTTGCAGCGGCACCGAGGGCCGCGGTTCTGGACGTCCTTCAGGGGGCCGAGGGTTCCTTTCGCACAGAAGGAACACGTCTGGCCTTCCAAGTTCTCCAAAATCCGGTCCTCCAACAACATGTCAACGATCTCGCGGTCACTGGCGCGAATGAAATCGAACATGTTCCTCTTGAAACCACTGCGCTCTGGCCTGGACGTGCAAGTTCTCTTGCCATGCCGCGCGTAGGGCACTTTCCTCGTACTCTGGTTTGGCGCCCGCTTCTGGGCCATTGTTTTTTCCCGCGTGCTTCGGGGCTTTCCGCTTGGACTTCCCCGTCTTCAGGACAGCGCGCGCCTTGCCTCGCTTAGGCGCGGGGAAGACGCGCCCAGTCGCCATGGCGCGGCCTTGGCGCGGCTCTGGCCGACGACCCTGGCAGAGAACGGGCAGGCGCGCCTTATCTTCTGGCGCGCTGGCGCGCTTGGGCCCAGACAGACGCGGAGGGTGACGCGGAGGGTGGCAATAATGGCGGTTTTGCCGAAGGAACCAAAAGTCTCGCGACCGCGCAAACACGGAGGGCGGCACGAATGTGTTTTTATAGCATCTACGGCTGCTCTATGAAGCCCGTGGCTCTCATATTGGTCCCCGGCGGCCGAGGCGCGCGCGTCGGTTGCAACAGTGGCGGTTTTGCCGAGGGAACCCAAGGTCTCGCGACCACGCAAACACGGAAGGCGGCCAATATGTTTTTTAGCATCTACGGCTGCTCTATGAAGCCCGTGGCTCTCATATTGGTCTCTGGCGGCCGAGGTACGCGCGTCGGTTGCGACAGTGGCGGTTTTGCCGAAAGAACCCAAGGCCTCGCGACCACGCAAACACGGAAGGCGGCCATTTTTTTTTTTTTATACATCTACGGCTGCTCTATGAAGCCCGTGGGTCTCATATTGGTCTCTGGCGGCCGAGGTGCGCGCGTCGGTCGCAACAATGGCGGTTTTGCCGAAGGAACCAACGGTCTCGCGACCACACAAACACGGAAGGCGGCACGAAGGTGTTTTTATAGCATCTACGGCTGCTCTATGAAGCCCGTGGCTCTCATATTGGTCTCTGGCGGCCGAGGTGCGCGCGTCGGTTGCAACAGTGGCGGTTTCGCCGAAGGAACCAAAAAGTCTCGCGACCACACAAACACGGAAGGCGGCGCGAATGTGTTTTTTTAGCATCTACGGCTGCTCCATGAAGCCCGTGGCCCCCATATTGGTCTCTGTCGGCCGAGGTACGCGCGTCGGTTGCGACAGTGGCGGTTTTGCCGAAAGAACCCAAGGTCTCGCGACCACGCAAACGCGGAAGGCGGCCAGGATGCGTTGTTTTAGCATCTACGGTTGCTCAATCTAGTTCGCGGGTCCCTTTTGTGTCTGTGGTGGTCCAAATGCGCTCGTCGAGAAAATCCGAGGCCTCGCGCGCACCCGACGACGCCGATCACGATCGAGATGTCGTCGGACTTGGGCGCGCCGTGCAGCTGCGCGCACTTGGCCATCTGGTCGGCCGCGGCGTGAGCGTCATCATCGGTGCCTGTGAGTATGACCTTGAAGCTCTCGCAAGGCACGTTATCAACGATGCCGTCGGAGCAACAGATGATGAGGTCTCTCGGGTTCAAATTGACGGTGCCGTAGTCGGCCAGTGCCGCGGCGCGCCCCAGATCAACGCCAACCCTGGCCACGCCAGGAAAAACGCGACATGCTTCGGACCGATCACCTCGCCTGAAGCCGTGGCGACGCGGACGTGGTGGCCCCCGGTGGTAAATAGCCGCGCGTAGCATCCCGTCAAAGCCGACTTGCGCCATACCTGGATGGATACGCCCCCGATGTGGCAGTAGGCCATCTTGGTGCCAGACACAGAGAAAAAAAACGACCGTGGTGGAGCCGTGCAACGTGGTGGTCTGGATGGCGAGCTGCAAGAGCCTCGTGGTTTATGTCGCTGTGGTTTACGTAACTGTTTTGTTTGTCGTTTGGTGCGTGCGTGTTATTGTTCCTGTTTGCTCGGGCCTCGCCGCCCGCGCCGCAGGAGCGTCCGTGGCCATGCTCCGCGCGTCGCCGCCGATCTCGCGGACCACCTGGGCGTCGAACTCTTGCCTGTCGCCCGCCCAGTGGAACCGCTGGCGGAGTAAGAGGCGGAGGCAGTTCCGGAGGTCCCACGAGAGGTCCTCAGGGTTGAAGCGGGGCGCGACCCCGCTCGCCCCGTCGCGCGCGACGCCCCAATTAGCCGCCGCCGCCGTCATGTCGGCGCTGGGCTTGCTGAGGAGCGGGTGCTGCGCCTTGGCGGCGCGCCAGGAGGCGGGGCGGAGCATCATCGGCATTGCTGCCGCGAGAGTTCGTGGAAGCTGCGCCGCGAGTTCTGCGTCGAAGCAGGCTCGGGCCAGAACGCGTTGCAGCGCGAAGAAAAACTTGCGTCGAAAGCGAGTGAGGGCGAGGGAGAAGAAGCGTAGAGGGGAAGACGGGGAGACGGAAGAGGAACAGGAGGGGCAGGAGGAGGGGGGGAGGGGAAGGAGGAGGAGGAGGGGGAGGACGAGGAGGAGGAGGGAAGAGGAGGGGGAGCAGGAAGAGGAGAATGAGGAGGAGGATGGGATGGAGGAGGAAGTACAGGAGGAGGACGACGACGAGGAGGAGACGGAGGGGGGAGGAGGATGAGGAGGAGGAGGAGGAGAAGGAGGAGGAGGGGGGGAGGAGGGAGAGGAGGAGGAGGAAAAATAAGCGGAGGAGGATGGGGAGGGGGAGGGGAGGGCGAGGAGGAGGAGGAAGGAGGAGGAGGAGAAGGAGGAGGAGGAGGAGGAGGAGGCGATTGATGAGGAAGGGAGGGTCGAGAATGCACGTATTGTACTGGAAAGCATTCTACTGCAACAATGCAAATGCAATCCAACGCAATGCAACACAGAACTGGGGAATTTCGCTCCTGTGTGATCTGGAGCGCTTCGCCCCTTGGAGCCTTTCGCCCCGTCTCTGGATGGAGCATTTCGCCCCGTCTCTGGATGGAGCCGTTCGCCCCTATGTATCTGGAGCGTTTCGCCCCTTGGAGCCTGTCGCCCCGTCTCTGGATGGAGCATTTCGCCCCGTCTCTGGATGGAGCAGTTCGCCCCTATGTATCTGGAGCGTTTCGCCCCTTGGAGCCTTTCGCCCCGTCTCTGGATGGAGCATTTCGCCCCGTCTCTGGATGGAGCAGTTCGCCCCTATGTATCTGGAGCATCTCGCCCCTTGGAGCCTATCGCCCCGTCTCTGGATGGAGCAGTTCGCCCCTGCGTGATCTGGAGCACGTCGCCCCTTGGAACATGTCGCCCCGTATCTGACTGGAACAATTCGCCACCTGGGAGCGGGAGGGCAATGGAGAGCAAAGAAGAGGATGAGGAAGAGATGAGTTGAAGACATGAACAGGGCACGAAAATAAAAGATCTTTGGGGGGGGGGCGATCCACATATATATATATATATATATATATATATTATATATATATGTCCTGGACTTCGGAACAAACGTTCTGCTCGCGTCAAGGACCTTCGAGCAAAGCGCCCTCCTCCTCCTCCTCCTCCTCCTCCTCCTCCTCCTCCTCCTCCTGTTCCTCCGCCCCCTCCCTTCTCCTGCTCCTGCTCCTCCTCCTCATCCTCCTGCTCCCCCTCCCCCTCCGCACCCCCATGCCCTTCCTCACGATCCCCCGCCTCCTCCTCCTCCTCCTCCTGTTCCTCCTCCTCATCCTCGTTCCTGTCA